CGAGTTGATCTGCGATGGAAGACCTCTCTCCAAACTTGTTGATCGGAAAGGATTGTTGCATAAAGTCGATGAAAGTTTCAACATCATCTTCGCGAAGGTACGACTTGAAATCGCCGCTACGACGCCGATGGCTATAGCATGCCCTCCATTGCTCAAATTTCGTCCAGTCTATCTCCGGGCATACTTCTCGCAAGCCTTGGAACAAAGTCAGATAAAGAAGTTTTGCCGTTTTATAGCTTACACTCGGATTGATCCAGATGTAGCCTAAGGCCGTAACAGCATCATCTCCGGGTTTTGTTGGCGGCGGGAGGGAAGGCAAGTATGGTTGGGCCTTCCCATTCTTCTTTGGTGGTGGACCTGGGTCTATTTGTGGTTGCTGGTGTGGCTGAAGCTGTGCAGGCATATACAGCCTCGAATCACTGAGTGTAGGCTTCATCCACGACGAAGTTAGCATCTAAAAGTTTCGATTGAACAACCTTGAACATTTGCTATTGTCTGGGAAGAAGATGGAGGTATGGAGGGACCTACTTTCATGCTCGCGTTTCGGCAATGAAGTATCTTAATAGATTGTTTCAACGATATAGCTACTGGGAATACTGCAGAGAAGCAATCAGAGTGTCGAGAGAGCTATTCACTCGCTAAGCCGTCAGCATCCAATCGATATCGAATAAAGCGACGGAGCTCAGAGTGGTTGAGTACTTACTAAGCGAAGATACACTTACGCTTCACACGTAGAATTGATCGCGGAATGTGGGTTGGTGAGCTGGGGGACGCAGTAAGTAAGAAGGTGCGTGTGTCGACAAGGCGACAGCGGATGTGAGGTGTGTGACGAAGCGAGACAGAGGACAGGAGATATGTAGGCTCTAAGCCGCGCTGCGGTTATTGGGTATGTTGCTGCGCACTGTGGTGAATTGATGGTGTCGATGCGTTCTTTAGCTGTGAGAGGGGGTGTGTGAGAGGGTGTGTGAGGAAGTGTGAGGTTGATTGACAGTTTGAAGTGAGGTGACAGTGGGTAGAGGAGGAACGCGGGCGATGTGTCGTGCAGCGACGTTCTTCGCAACACTCAGCATTATCGACTGATTATCGCAGCGACAGTTTATCGGCCTGGAGATGCAGCCGCATACATTAAATGACAAGCATATTTTTTACCGTCATCTGGGACACAAAGGAACACACCCGTGGTAATCCATCGAGGCTCTAGAGCAGATGCGAGGCTCAGGCCGCAGACCCAATATCGATGGTTACACTTCGATATATGCACAACCAGACCAGAGGTATCCAAATCGAGACTCGACTCTAGTTCTGAAAAACCATGCGTGCCATAGTCAAGGGTCCTCATTAGCCTCGAAGCCAGGCGCCATAGGGTCCTCATCACGATTTTAGCAACTATGTTGAGCATGCAAGAATATATATCTATGATAGAATGTCTGCAGTAAGCAAGCACTCCAGTGAAGCTCTGTTGGCTGGATAGCAAGTTGAATCAGCGAAATGCTCCGTACTCTCCCCGGGACATGTTACACGCACAAGAGCCTGCACCAACTTCCTGACGCTCAGATATATAATCCCGGTCCCTGCCTACGTGAAGATTCCCTGCGTAAAATATAACCCTGAAGCCTGTCACTTGATCATAAAAGTTCCATCATCCCGTATCACATACTTTCCTCCACCAACCTACTTGCCACATTGTTATACATCAAACTTTGTCGATAACCGTCCGACCTCTTGAATATCAATTGTCCCTGTGATAAAGCAGTTACTGTGTCCTCCCAATAACATACCATTCTTTCTTCAAAAAGGTGATCACTTTCGAAAGGTACGCGAGGATACCCACCAGTTCGTCCCATGGCGCTCAGTTTCACAGTTCAACCTACAATTTTTATCCACTTCACCGCTAATAGCCACGGTCCTTGGTACCGAAGCTGACAATATCTCTGAGTAGACAAGATGCTCACTGAAGATCTCCTGATCTTCCGCCACATCATGGGTGCGCAACTTCCTGACGCGAGACGTATGGTCGAAGAAAAAAAAGCGGAGAACGAAAGAGATCTGGCCGGAATCATGGACATTCTCGACGTCTTAGAACCCGACAATACGACAAACACAGCATATGAATGTGCCAAAATTTGCCTTGAGATGCTCAAAGACACTGAGAAACTCTTGGGCCTAGCCTCGCGATATCTTGATAGCCAAGAGGAGGCCCTCAAACAAAGCGTCTTCAAAAGGTGTGAGAGGAAAGGCATCAAATGGAACATCGAGCATGTGAACGACCGCAACCACAGAAAGTTTGCAATCAAGTTCTGGAAGCTTCGCCAGGCCTTGCAGGCAGTCGACCGAGGCATGGGCATACTAGACGTCAGCTGTTCACTTTGGCCGGATTTCGCCAAGAAGTGGCCGTACGTCGAGTACGTCCTGGAGGAGGAATTTGGAGAAGATGGTAACCCAAACTCGGATGAACTGGCTGGCTATTTGCGTGTAATTGATTGATTGTTCGCTTTTCTGACTACCGGAAAACGCATTCATGGTCATTGCGTTAAGCATGTTTTTCCTTAGTCGCGCGTGATGCCCATCCCAAATCTTCGTTCCGTCGAAATGCCATTCATCACATCCCCAGATCGCATGGATTCTTTCAAGAACGGGCTATAAACGTTTTCTTATAAATTGAATAACGCCTGTCCTAGTACCAAGTCGGAGCTGGACTTACGATTGAGCGCTAGCTCCAAATAACTTATACTATATTATTCGACATTGGGGACGTTCCTCGTGTGTGAAATTCGATAGTTGAACATGTAAGATTTCCTAACGGCAACGTGCACCGTTATTCGAACAAGGGGAGTGCATGCAAATACTAATTTGCAAGCAGTGTAGATCCGCATTGCAGACCGACCCAACCTGGATTTGAAGGTTCACTAATCATAAGGGCTTTTCATACATATGGTTTCGAGGCCATATAAAGCCATTTGATTTATAGTCATTACATGGCTACTCTTCACTCTTTCCCATTAATTTCAACATATGTATACATTGCTGGAGACTAGTTCACCATGGTAAAAGCAATGCTCCTCGACTACGGTCCAAGTGTCAATCTCAATATTTTAAACCAGATTCATAATCATAACTATCGAGTCTCAGAAATACGAGTATACGGTTCAAACATATCGTCTTTTGATCAAATGCTCTCTACTTTCACGCTTTGGTCTCTCACCTACAGCAAAGCCTGTCCTGTTCCCCTAGTGTAATTAATCGACTATGCAGATGATTTTCCCTACACAAGGTCAGTGCCAATGCAATCTGATTCCGTCAGGGACATAAAAGCCAAATCACTTACCCTTGGTCTGATTCGACTCCATCAACTTGTGTGCTTGGATAATCTATAAAGCTGTTAGCCTTACGGTCTTTTCCGCACCGATATCGCCAAGAAGCACCAGCTGGTCAAGAGAATTTGAGCATACATCTTTCCACGAGAAGACCTTTTCGACGAACAGTTTATAGCCGTCTTCCTCAAACTTTGGCATTGCCTCCTGCACAAGGCGATCTCTGAGAGCTTTCTGGTACTCCAGCGATCGACTCCGCAATGTTGTCCCTTCAATCCGCACCCTCTTCCTTAGGATGGACGCAACGTCAATCGGCTCCTGCGTCTTGACCCCACCTAGGAGTGCTAGAAGCACAACCCTACAGTCGAACGCCGCACATTTGACATCTTTCTCCAGATATCCCTGACCGACGATGTAATCAACGATCAAGTCAACCCCCTTGCCATCTGTGACTTTCAATATCTCGTCCCCGAAGTCCTGTGTCTTGTAGTTGAACCCAGCAGTAGCACCGAGTTCCACGCAAAAGTCAATCTTTTCCTGCGAACTAGCAGTTACATATATCTCAGCAGCACCAGCAGTTTTCGCCAGCTGAATAGCTGCAAGTGACACTGCACTAGCTCCCGCATGGAGCAGCACGCGATCCCCTTTTTTGAAGCACCCGACGAGAAACAGTGCCTGTGTGGCCGTGATCCAGGCCTCAGGTATCCCAGCCGCTTCCTCAAAGCTCATCTTCGCTGGTTTATGGATGAGCATCTGGGCTGACACGGCGATCTTCTCGGCGTATGCTCCGCCGTATGCGAGCCCGAAAACCTCATCTCCGACTTTAAATGAGTCGATTTCCGAGGCACCGCCGTGAGTCTTCTCGATCACACCGGAAAACTCAACTCCTAGTGTCTTCGGCGCTCCCGCCGGCACGGGATACTTCCCCTCTCGTTGGGAGAGGTCCATTCGGTTGAGGCCAAAGGCATGTATTTTGACCAGCACCTCACCAGACGATATGGTAGGCTCCGGAATCTCGTCAATGAAGAGGGAGTCCGCAGGACCTTGGTCTCCTTTGATACCTGTTGCATTATCAAGATTTCTCGAAAGTCAGCGTTGCAAATCGAATTAAGCCAAGGGCTCAATAGCTTACCAATAGCTCTCATTTTGATGTCGGATTGGGCGGACTGGCCTCGAGACTAATGTCGGATGTAGATGTGCTGCTTAAATGCAATGTTCTCTGATGTTGCAGGGAGAATTTCGTGTCTATGACGTAGAAACTCAACTTCCGGCTATTTGTAAGATCAATTCTCCCGGATCCCCTCTTTCAAATTAGACCAGTATATTTGGATTATCTAAATTGCAATCGACTCTGAGTTCCGGACCGCGAACCTTGGGAACAAATGGCTCGGTTCGGCTCGGTTAGCCAACCTATTTCCTAACACATATATTCAACCGATGCGACAACCATTTCTAAAATGTTGTCTGACGCGGCGTCGATTGTGTGGTGGGCCCCTACCTAGATCTCAAAGATGGTACATACAGAAGTCCCAGGCCCGTTCACGAGCGTATGCATATATGAACATGTTAAAAAAAGGCAATGCGCTATTTTCTTCAAACATCATGTCTACGAAGCGAAAAAATTGAACCTTCGCTAGCCAAAAACGAAAATCCAACAAAAAAGAGTCGAAAAACGCAAAAAGAAATCGATGACAACGAAGGGATTCGAACCCTTGCGGTTTCCCACTGCGATACTGAAATCGACCTATCAGATCAATTCGCCTGAACACAGCGCCTTAGACCACTCGGCCACGTTGCCTCATAGATTGGATGAAAGTCGGTCCGAACTAGCGTATACAAACGTTGTATGGTGGGTGCATCTGCTCCGTTTTCGTCTTCGACAACACGGCGGTCTCGTTCAAGACTGCTCGAGGAGTTAGCGTAGTACTATAGTAGTGTCAAGACCCATGCTAAAAATTTCCGCCTGTTGCATGAAAAAAGGTCAGCTTGGTCTCCAGATATCTAGATACAAACCCATTTATATGTCATTCTAAACAGAATATTAGAGATACCTAGGTATGTACAGAAATAGAAACTCTGAAGTCGATCATCATAGATGGTCAAACTAATATTGGATTTATTGTCAAATACAGGCCCACAGGTACTTAAATAATGTAGTATGCATGAGCAATTCTATTAAAGATACAATACACGTATGGTTCGATAACTCATTAAGGCTAGTGGGCAATTCACAGCTGAAGCGGATCTATGCATCGCCGTTAGATTCGGGCTTATCTTTATCCTCCTTCGTCGCGCCAACTCCCGCAGTAGCAGCATTGATGACCACACTGGTCCCAATAACCAGGTCCTTCGCAGTACTGCCTATATTGGCACCGGTCTGCCTCGTCGAATCCACCAGCTTCTTCGCATCGCTGCCATAATCATGCTCTGCAACCTTCGAGGCGGATTCCCCAATCTCCGACCCTACCATCTTAATTCCATGACCCATCTCTTTACCAACGATTGCACCACCCTCTAGCGTTTGGTCCAGCGTTTCTCTTGCGAGCGACTTTTCTTGCTGCGGTTCGTCGGACGATGGTAGTGCTGGCGACGCGAGGTCGTCTGCGCCGCCTTTGATTCCCGTCTTCTCTCCAATCCAGGCACCGGCGTTATAAACGGCACTCTAGCACTAGGATTAGAGCTACGGTCTCAAGTTTTATGGGGCCACGATAAGTGGGTTAATATCTTACCGATATGGCTTTGCCAACACCGGCAGCCCCTTCGGCTAGCTTTTCCGTCCCATCTTCTGCACCACCTAAGACATTTTTTGTTATATCTGAGAATTCGTGATCTTTTTCCGCGGGTGGTGCCTTTTCGTTCCTGTCATCCGTCTTCCTGCTCAGGTAACTGGCCACATTGCTCGCTGTTTCTGCAATCTTTTTGGAGAGGCTAAGGTCACAAATGTCAGTTGATCAAGTAACTTTGCTTATGGACTAAACGTAAGGAACAGCCATACTCATCGGCCTCAGCCACAATCCCCGTCTTTAAAAAGCCATTATACACCATAATCTTTTCAAAGTTCAGTGCATCTTCCTCGGGGACACTCTGTGGAAAGGTAACCTCGATAGTCCCCAAGTCTTCTGTGACTTTGAAGCGGAAAGCTTGGCAGAGCCCTGATTTACTGCCAATAAAAAGGTCCGGGTGTATGGGAAGCGTGAGAGGTGTTGTATCTTCTGAAGGTGAGGTGTCAGACGACGTTGGAGTAATAGTGAGGAACAGCTTTGCTTCTGTAGGTACGCCTGCGAGTGGTTCGGTGAGTGTTAGGGTGCCAGATTTAAGAGGTATCGCGGCCGCTGAGTTTGGTGGGATCTGAGTGCACTCGACATTCTTGATCGAGATGAGAGGTGCTGTCGCCATTTTGCAAAGTTATAGATGCGTAAAACTTAGGATAGATAATTCAAAACAGATGGCAATGGTTTGCGGTCTCGAGTGGATATGATCAGTGGTTTTTTGGCGAAAGCAATGCAGCGCGTGCGCACGGATTTATTTCGTTCCAGTCTTAACGAAGTCGCAGCGTCAGCCGCGGAATGGGAACTGTGTTGAGACTCTTGACGTCACAGGCCCAGAAAGCAAGGTGCGGCGATGAGATCCCACTTCCGCTTTCAGCAAGGAACCGCATTGGTCTCTACGGCATCCTGGTATGCTTAGAAGGCAAACGTCAGACGCAGCAAGGAGGCAGGCTATTATATATTATTACTCCAGGGCGCTTGTTCTACGAGATGTGTGTAGCCGACTCTAGTATTTTTCTACGTTAGCAACCTTGTGACAGGTTCCAGTGTTGTCGGAATCGCCGTCCGTCTCTATAATAGCGGACGTCGGAGGAAATGTATATTCATGAAAGAAAAAGCGTCCGAACAGCGATATTACAGGGAGGTGCAAAAGAAGAAAGACCCATTATACGCCGAATGAATATAATATATGAAACGAGGACGATAAAGGTGGCTTTTCTCTCCGGACAGAACAAGAGATGTGTAGGTCGTATGCGATATTAAGCCATTTCGTTACAACGTCCCTTTAATGCGTGTAGAAAAGTGCGTCAAGTCGCGAATAGGTGGTTAAGAGGTTCCACAGGGGATTCAAGTCGGAGCGTTGTATAGAGGCGGTTCGGGACAAATGGGTATAGACAGGAGATGGAGAGAAATCAAAGGTCGGGAAGCGCGTTTACTCCTCTTCCTCCTCGGTCTCGATCGTAGTCTGGGCGATACCTGTAATCGCGATGAATTAGTATCCTCATGCAGTCCAATATTACTACCCGATAGGTATAGTGTGAGGCCGGGGTAACATACGATCCAAGTCTCTCCGTCCGGTCTGGCTGATGCTCCGTCCACCCTTCTCGTTGATCTCAAGAACACCAATCTTCTCGAGGGACTGCATAACCTTCCGGTCGACGCTTCCGGAAGCATCGACGTGGTGGCTGGGGCGCGATCCTCGGTTCTTGGTAGCTCCGTGGACTTTTCTTAATCTGCCAACACCAACGGATTTGCGGAGGTAGATGTGACGGGCAACGGCGGCGGCACGTGTGTAGTACCAGTCGATGGACTGAGGCGGCAGCTCCTTCATGCTACCGGTCTTGACCGTGTCAACCCAGCCTATTCGTCGAAATCTCGGTGTTAGCTCCTATATTCCTCTCGGTGCATCCTAATTCCCTTGCCGAGAATCTGTTCGGGTTGATTCGTGGTTCGTACCGGGAACTGGCAGCTTTCCCTGCCTCTTCAAGAAGGCAGCATAGGCCTCAATGAATTGTTGGGCCGGAACCTATACCAGCACCATCCGTCAGCATGACCGTTCTTTCGCCATTATTTCCATCTTGCCTGAAACAGCTCCAAATCCTCCTCGATCGGGTAAACTCGCGAAAGCCATCGTCGTCTCGCGGGATAGGTTGGTTGTGGACATACATCGCGAACTGAAACTCCAGGCATGATGGCGGTGTTGACTGCTCCACAGAGACGGTATTAGCTCCACAGTTCCTCCACAGTTGCCGGACAGAATCGAACTAAGCGGAGATTGCGATATAATCGTACATGAAGGTTTATGACGGCGGTGAAGTCGGAGGCGATGGGTCGTTTACGATGTTGGTGATCTGACTTTGGTAGATGAGCTTTGAAGATACAGCAAATTTACTTGGGTTGCCTGTTCGTTTGTGTGTAGGAGCCACCTAACCGCAAATGGATGATTGGGGTTCGAAGCCCTGTCCATATTTGGAATCTTTCCTATGACAAACACCAAAGCAAATGCAACAACCAGCAACACATGAGTATTATATTCCCTGGCCACGGGCCAGACAGATCCAGCTGAGCATATTTACAAGTGAGCGCATGAGCATGAGTACTTGTTTACGTTTGCAAGACACATGCTACTCTGTGGGAGGAATACAGATCCAAGCACTGGGTTCTACTAGACAAGGTTCATGAGACCCTTCAATGTACCATAACATGTTCACATCTGCAGCTCTGTTCCTCACGATTCCTTTTCACTGCAAACGCCAGCTCGACGCATATAATACATTATAATATGCGCATACGACATACATACATGAATATACCATATATACTACTTCTAATGTGGATACAGTATATAAGGCTTATCAGCTGGTAGATCCACCACAAATGCCTCGATGATGATCGTATTGATTTCCCTCAAAGTCTCCGCGTCATTTCGTTCTCGCGGCGTCAGACCTGAATAATTCGGCTTCCCAAGCGTCAACAACCTAGCCACAAGCTGTGCTCCGGTATCAGAGTACGCATAGCCTGGTATTGTATATTTCTGGTCTGGCGACACCGAGATCAGACCATTGCCAATCTGTACATCGACCTTTGACGTATCCCTCTCGCTCGGGCCAAATTGTGGTTGTATCGGATGTACGAAACTGTGGACGCAGTTCACAAAGAAATTAGCAACCTGGCTGATTCGACTGCCTTAAGCGTTGACTTGATTATGGAGTTCTGCGGTTCTTGATGCGACCCTTTATCCTGAGTCCGTAAATGGGACTTACCTCATATCACCACAGTCGTCCCTAGCCTGCTCTTCACTCCCGTTACGGAGAAATGCACCACCCTTGTCATTGTCACGACAAGTATACATAAACTTGTTTGTACCCCATTTGTAGAGTCTCTTGTTGGGCTTGTGGTAAAACCACACCCCCGGCTTTGCATGCCAGTCTAGACTGCCCATTACCACGTCCTCGCCATTTTCAGAGCGGTAGGCGCCGAATGGATCTGTCTTCGGCTTGACCTGAGTAAGGAACCTGCATTCATATCGTTTAGCTCGAGTCAGCTAGTCTCTTTGTAAATCCGATGGGCGCTGTTTAGAGAAACTACTCACCAAGCCATGGGGTATTTTTCAGGCATAGACGCTAGGAGATAATACCAGTCAGCATGCTACCAATATGCTATAGAAGTTTGCGCACCGAAACGTGCCTTGAAGTTGGATCGGGCTTCCGTTCTCAATATCTTTCATTGTCCATCCCTTCTTCACCGGATTACCCGTCCGCTCAACATCTCCATAATAAAGCCAGAACGGCTTGTCTTCATCATTGCCAGAGCTTGCAGTCGATTGTATCACAGATTTCGGCAGCGTGGTCAACTGCGCGTACGTTGGTAACCTCGAGATCTCGGTTCCATCGGCTCTACGGCGAACATCCCATACGACATCCCAGGCCTTCAAGGGGAAGAAAGCTGCGAACAGACCCTGGTTATTCAAGTTCGTATTATCTTTCTTCGGAGTCAGCAATTTCTGATTGTTGAACTGTATCTCGGCCTC